TCCCAAGAAAAAAAATCATAAAGGTACGCTGAAAACAAGTTATTGTATTAGATACTCTTGTCTGCCAAGGTTTGAACTCAAGACCATCTTTTTTTCTCGTAAGAAAGGAAAATTAACAAGTGTCAGGAAGATTTTAAGATATGTCAGCTGTAAACTGAGACAGTCTCCTTGATAAAATCAAAAGAGTTGGAAGAGAATCAGTTAAGTTGCTCAGTCGTGTGTTCGACTCTTTGCGACCCCATGGACTGCAGCACACCAGGCTCCCCTATCCATCACCAACTCTTTTTTTTTTTTTCTTTTTCATCACCAACTCTTGACTCATGTCCATTGAGTCGGTGATGCCATCCAACCATCTCATCCTCTGTCTTCCCCTTGTCCTCCTGCCTTCAATCTTCCCAGCGTCAGGGTCTTTTCCAATGTGTCAGTTCTTCACATCACATGGCCAAAGAATTGGAGTTTCAGCTTCAGCATCTGTCCTTCCGGTGATTGTTCAGGACTGATTTCCTTTAGGATTGACTGGTTGGATCTCCTTAAAAGCCAAGAGACTCTCAAGAGTCTTCTCCAACACCACAGTTCAAAAGCATTGATTCTTCCGTGCTCAGCGTTCTTTATAGTCCAGCTCTCACATCCATACATGACTACTGGAAAACCATAGCTTTGACTAGACAGACCTTTGTTGGCAGAATAACTTCTCTGCTTTTTAATATGCTATCTAGGTTGGTCATAGCTTTCCTTCCAAGGAGCAAGTGTCTTTTTATTTCAGGGCTGCAGTCACCATCTGCAGTGATTTTGGAGCCCAAGAAAATAACGTCTCTCTTCTGTTTGCCATGAAGTGACGGGACCAGATGTCACGATCTTAGTTTTCTGAATGTTGAGTTTTAAGCCAGCTTTTTCACTCTTCTCTTTCACTTTCATCAAGAGGCTCTTTAGTTCTTCAATTTCTGCCGTAAGGGTGGTGTCATCTGCGTATCTGAATTTATTGATATTTCTCCTGGCACTCTTGATTCCAGCTTGTGCTTCATCCAGCCCAGCATTTCACATGATGTACTCTGCATTTAAGTTAAATGAGCAGGGTGACAATATACAGCCTTGACATACTCCTTTCCCAATTTGGAAACAGTCTGTTATTCCATGTCCAGTTCTGACTGTTGCTTCTTGACTTGTATACAGGTTTCTGTATGTGTGTATGGAAGAGAATAACTGTTAACTAAAAAACATCATAGCCACTTAAGATCTTTTCATATATGACTTGAAATATCCTAGGTGCCATCACTGGTATATGTTTCACATTTTAGGAAATCATGAATATAAAATGATGCACTTGAGAGCTTTTAGCAATGGGCCTCAATTTTATTATTTCTCAGTTTTAAAGTGTGTGACAGTGCAGGCAAAACTCAGGATTGTTGAAGATGAATTTTAATGCTCCTTCATTCTTTTTCATTTATAGTTACTCTGCGTCCTCTTTATCTTTTTATTGTTGTGATAGTAAGAAAGATTTTATTATTGTGTTTCTCCAAAAAAGGAAATAACCAGATTGTTCCCAATTTTATATGTAATAAATGGCAATTCAGAATTGTTAAAAGTCTGTGTTAGAGACAAGATAGGTATTTTATGATTCTAGTTCTGTCTTCTGTCTATGGTCCACCTCATACTTTTTTTTCTTTTCCATTATGGCTTATTACTAGATATTGAATATAGTTTCCTGTGCTATATAGTAGGACCTTATTTATCTATTCTTTTTTTTTTTTTGCTTGTTCAATAAGTTTATTATTGTCTTATCTGAAAAATCTTGATAGAAAATTGTGGTTTGGTTTAGCTCTCGGCAGCTCATTCCTGAGCTCTAAGGAAGCTTGCCTTCTTCTGAGCTACCCGATCTTTCTTCTGGGCAAGTGACATTTTGGGACGGTTCCACCTCTTCTTTTTAACTTCTTTCTTAGGCTTCTTCTCATACACTGGATTCTCTCGTATTGCAGCATGAGCTTTCTTATACATCTCCTCCATCATGTCTGGAGTTACGTTGTTCTTTATGTACTGAGAGAATTGTTTCTTGTAAGCATCTTCATCTTCTTCAACAGCATAATTTGTCAGGCCAACCTTCACACCATATTTTGGGAGTTCGTGAGCATAAGCTGCACAAACTATCATATCTCCTTCTATACGGGCATAAGCAATCTGACAAATGATATCTCTGTTCGTTACACGAACAATCATTCTGTATTTAGGTGTGTTGTACTTATTTTTATCTTGGATAACCAATCGTTTCCGAGCATAGTAGTCAGTTTTGCCCTCTCGCCTTCTTCTGAATTTCACTTGGTATCTCTTGAAGTAGGCCTTGTTCTTGACAACTTTCACAAACCCCATCCTGTGGAACAGAACCCCGATTCCGCGGCTTGCCACAGAGCTGCAGAACCAGCACGGCTCCGTGGGGGAAAAAGCTATTTATCTATTCTTTTAAAAAACATTTTTGATGTGGACCTTTTTTATGTCTTTATTGAATTTGTTGCAATATTGTTTCTGTCTTATGTTTTGGTTTTTGGCTGCAAGGAAAGTGGGATCCTAGCTCCCTGAGCAGAGTTCAAACCCATGCCGCCTGCAGTTGAAGGCACAGTTTTAACCACTGGACTGCCTTATCTATTTTACATATAGTAGTTTGTATCTGTTAATTCCAAACTCTTAATTTATCCCTCCCCCACCTCATTTCCCTTTTGGTAACCAAAAATTTGTTTTCTATGTCTATGAATCTGTTTCTTAAATAAGTTCGTCTGTAAACTTCTCAGTTCTCATTTTAGATTCCACACATAAGTGGTATCACCTGGTATTTGTGTTTCTCTGCCTTCATTTAGTATGGTAATCTCTAGATCCATGCATGTTGCTGCAAATGGCATTATTTCTGTGTGTGTGTGTGTGTGTGTGTGTGTATGTAGATAGACCACATCTTCTTTGTCCATTCATCTGTCAGTGGATATTTAGGTTGCTTCCATCTCTTGGTTGTTGTAGTCTGCTATGAACATTGGGGTGCATATGTCTTTTCCAATTATAGTTTTGTCCAGGTATATGCCCAGGAGTGGTATTACTGGATCATATGGCAACTCTGTTTTTAGTTTTTTGAGGAACCTGCATACTGTTCTCCATGGTGGCTGCACCAGTTTACATTCCCACCAACAGTGTACGAGGGTTCCGTTTTCTCTCTAACACCCTCTCCAGCATTTGTTATTTGTAGACTTTTTATTTTTTTTAATTTTTATTTATTTACTTATTTTTATTTGTAGACTTTTTAATGATGGCCATTATGACTGCCTGGTGTGAGCTAGTACCTCATTGTAGTTTTGATTTGTATTTTTCTAATTAGAAATGTTGAGCATCTCTTCATGTGTCTATCAGCCATTTGTATAGCTTCTTTGGAGAAATGTCTGTTTAGATCTTCTGCCTGTTTTTTTTAGTAGATTTTTTTTTTTTTAGTTGTATGAGTTGTTGGTATAATTTGTAAATTAAGCCTTTGTTGGCTGCATTGTTTGCAGGTATTTTCTGTCTGCAGGTTGTCTTGACATTTTCCTTTGCTGTGCAAAAGCTTGTAAGTTTGATTAGGTAGGTCCTATTTTATTTTTGCTTTTTTTTCTATTGCCTTGGGAGACTGACCTAAGAAAACATTGGTACTGTTTATGTCAGAGAATGTTTTGCCTATTTTCTCTTTTAGGAGTTTTATGGTGTCATGTCTTATTTATTTATGTCATAACTTACATCTTGAGTTAGCTTTGTGCATGCTATGAGAGCATGTTGTAACTTCATTGATTTACATGTGTCTGTCCAGCTTTCCCAGCACCACTTGCTGAGGAGACTGTTTTTTTACTCATTGTATAGTCTTGCCTCCTTTATCAAAGATTAACTGGCTAGGTGTGTAGGTTTATTTCTGGGCTTTATTCTGTTCTATTGATCCATTTGTCTGTTTTTGTGCCGTGCTACTGTTTTGATTACTGTAGCTTTGGAGTATTGTCTGAAATCAGGGAGGGTTATTCTTCCAGCTTTGTTCTTTTTTCCCAAGCTTGCTTTGGCAATTCTGAGCTTCATGGTTCCATACAGATTTCAGGATTATTTGTTCTAGTTCTGTGAAAAATGTCATGTGTAATTTGATAGGGGTTACATTAAATCTGTAGATTACTCTGGATAGTATGACCGTTTAAACAATATTTTTGCAATCTACAAAGCATCCATATGATACTTTTTAAAGCCATCTCGCAGAAATTGTGATAAGATAAAGATGGCAAATATTAGGATACCTCACCCTCCACACATACCTCAAAAAGCATTTATTAGGTGCCTGAATCTGGAAAAGTGTTGCAGTGCTAGGGGAAAGTCAGATATGTTTTTAATAGAATTATAACTCTACCCGTCAAAAGTCAGCTGTGTGTTTGAACTCAGGCTCATCTTATGCACTCAACCCCTTGCTATTTCTCAGTAAATGATTTCTTAAAAACTAATATTGAGGAATTTCCTGATGATCTAATGGTTAGAACTTGGCACTTTCACTGCTGAGGGCCCAGTTCAATGGTTCAGTCCCTGGTCCGGGAATTAAGATCCCACAAGCTACTCAGCTTGGCTAAAAAAAAGAAAGGAGTATTGTATTATTTTAAAAGTTCTTTCTTATTAACACATTTTGTGGTGGGAGTAACAAAATGAAAGAACAAGCAAACAAGATTATTTTAAGAAATAGAGTCATCTCGTTATTTATTTATGGCTGCACTGGGTTTCTTGCTTTGCACAGGCTTCCTCTAACTGCAGCGAGGCGGGGCTGCTCTCTGTTGCGGTTTGAAGGCTTCTCATTGCAGTGGCTTCTCTTGTTGTGGAACACAAGCTGTAGGCGGGTGGGCTTCAGTAGTTGTGACTTGGCTCTAGAGTACAGGCTCGGTAGTTGTGACACACAGGCTTAGTTGCCCTGTGGTGTATGGGATTTTCCAGAACCAGAGATTGAACCCATGTCCCCTGCATTTGCAGACAGATTCCTAACCACTGGACCAACAGGGAAAGTACCATCTCATCATTTTTAATTTTAACTTTTGGACCTGATCTTTCTACAAGGAGGCTAGGCCTTGGACTTGGAGGAAAAACTTGGCACAGGTTACCTTGACTTTGTCCAATGTCTCCAGTTGTTCTCCACATAGAAACATGGTCATGGAGGGACTTCCCTGGCAGTCCTGCAGTTAAGAATGCACTTCCACTGCAGGGGGCGCAGGTTCAGTGCCTAGTAGGGGAACTAAGATCCTGCATGCAGCATGGCCAAAACAAAACAAAAGGCCATGGACCACAGTGACCTGCTGTCTGATGACATAGATCTGAGTGGTACCTTACACCTGGCAGAACGTGGAATCCAGCCAGTTAAGTCAGGCATGCTCAGTGAGATGGAGCAGGTTCTGTGGAAGAATGGATCAAAGTTGGGACACCATGCTTCAGACCCCCATATCCACTGCTCCTTTGTCTAGAGTGAGGCATTTAAAATCCTCAGCCTGAAAAGTTCAAATGCAGAACTATCTCAGATTTTATCAGGCCTACCCCATCACTTTGTGTCCAAAGGACTCAAGCCTTTTTTAATGGAAAAAGAAAAAAAGGCTATAGATGTATCAGAATGAAACTTTTCTACACATTTTGTGGGTGTTCCTTAGCCTAAATGAATGGTATCTACTAAACAGGTGGTAGTCATACATAAGAGCCTTGAAGCACATCTCAAGATGGTATCAATACAGCCAGAGTTCACATTACCAACTAAAAGATCTAAGTCTTTACTTCCATACCTGCAAAATAAGTTAACACCTTATACATCTAAACATGTTATAAAACTGTTCTCTTAGGGGAGAGGACTTTGGGAATGCTCTAATACAAGCCTCAGAGATTATAGTCAAGGTGTTAACTATTTGGAGATTTTTTTAAAAGACAAAATCTCATCTATCCTGAAGAATTTACATTTTGAAAGCAAGAAGAGTTCAGTTGAATCAAGTACCAGAATGAGATGAAACGTAAGCGCTAGGCCAAATTCTCAAAGTCAGATGCTCACCGGCACAGATACTTTTAATAAGAGAAATTAAATCTACGGTTCAGACCTTGGCTGCAGAGAACTGTTTAAAAGCATCGTCTCCCAGGGATCCACTGGGGCAGAGCATCCAGGATTCTGAGCGCCCCCTAGGGACTGTGTGCAGCCAGAGCTGGAAAGGAAGCAGGCGTGTGGACTGGGGAACCGTGCCCACCCAGAGACAGCTGCCGTGTTAGCTGCCTCGGGAGACGACGCCATCGGCGTTTCTAGATCATCATACACTTCAAGTGAAGTCGGGCTCCAGATCTTCAGTTAAATCTCCTCTCTTTTAACTACTGGTAACTAATTCACTTTACAAAACAAAACTACACACTGCTCTATATAAAATGGATAGCACGGACCTACTGGATAGCACATGGAAATCTGCTCAATGTTGTGTGGCAGCCTGGATGGGAGGGCCGTTTGGGGGAGAAGATGCGTGTATATGTATGGCTGAGTCCCTTCCCTGTTCGCCTGAAACTATCACATTTTTTAATAATTGGCTGTACCCCAATACAAAATAAGAAATTTAAAAAACAAAGCCACAAATCGCTACAGGTTAAACAGAGTACATTTGTGGGCATCCCCAACCTATGGGGAGCTTATTTGTGACCTCTGCTGTAAGATGCCTCTTTCTTCTATGAAAGGAAACGTTCAATTTTACCCAAGAGTAATGGAGAATAAACACTTGCATTGCAGCTTATGGAAGAAGAATCAGTGTCAGATTTTGCAGTTCAAGAATGACCTTAGACAACATCAATAGGGAAGCTGTGGATCGAATAATCCGGGTGGATCATGCAGGTGAATATGGAGCGAACCGTATCTATGCAGGGCAGATGGCCATCCTGGGTCGGACAAGCGTCGGGCCAGTCATTCAGGTGGGCACCTCTTGATCTCTCAGTAATGAATCACACTGGGTCATGCATTGTCAAGGGAGGTACTGTTGTCCCCAAGAGAAGGAAAACTGGTTGTGGGGGGGTGGTGGAGGAGTAAAAGGCATATTATTCTTTTTTATAAAGCGCAGACAGACATAAACAGATTTATAGTACATAAACAAATATACAGTCTACCTGTAGTATTAAAATTTCATGGGGGGGGGCAATAAAAAAGGATTAAGAATCATTGCATTTTCACTCAAAGCACCAGTTGTAAGACCTTGTGGTCCCACCCCTAGTAGACCCCAGTGGAGATATTTTATATTATAGGCTGAGAGGCAGATTGGACAGGCCTGGGCTTCATAGTCACGCAGACCGAAGTTCACATTCCAGCTGTCTCCCACCTCCTACCTGTGTGAGCTTGAGGAAGTCACATGACGTGTTCTGTGTCTGCAAAATGAGCTGACATGACGTCATTTTGGTGAAGAATAAATGAGCTAGAGAAATGCAAATCAAAACCACAATGAGGTACCATTACACGCCAGTCAGGATGGCTGCTATCCAAAAGTCTACAAGCAATAAATGCTGGAGGGGGTGTGGAGAAAAGGNATGGCTAATTCATTTCAGTGTATGACAAAACCACTGTAATGATGTAAAGTAATTAGCCTCCAACTAATAAAAATAAATGGAAAAAAAAAAGAAAAAAAAAAAACAGATGGCATGCAGATATGACAAAAAAAAAAAAAAAGAATAAATGAGCTGGTGTAGAGCAGCTAATACCATGCCTGGCATGTGTTAGACACTTAGCACAAGTTAAATTGCCTACTCTGAGTACTTGGGCAAGTTACTTAACCTCTCTGTGCCTCACTTCCTTCATCTGTATAGTGAGGATAATAATAGTTTGTCTTTCACAAAGCAGTTGTGCAGATGAATTCAAATATGTATGTACGCTATTTGACAGTACCTGGCTATGGGACATACTCTTAAGTGTTAGCTCTTATGATCATTCTTCCTTTTTCCTTTGATGTAAATGATATATTTCTGACTGTCTGAAAGGAAATCATATAAAAGGTAATATTCTGCCCTCTAAGTTTGAAATGGGCTACACATCTCATGTCTTTGGGGGTGCACTGTGGATTGAGCAACTTCGGCCAGCTCTGCGGTTTGTAGTCTGCTTGTCTGGAATGGAGATAACAGACACTTCTCTTGGTTTGCTGTCTCTCTTCCCTGTAATCTGATGTTTAGGGCTTTTCCTTCTATGATTCAAGGGGACTGGGGGAGGTAGCAGTTCTCATCATTCTCCCCATTGTGCTTCCTTTACCCACATGAACAGGGCATGTGGCTTCCTTATTATGTAACAGGTGGTCTCTCTGAAATGTTTGTTTTTATGTTTCTTACAGAAAATGTGGGATCAAGAAAAGGACCACTTGAAAAAGTTCAGTGAGTTGATGGTTGCATTCAGGGTTCGGCCGACCATTCTGATGCCCTTTTGGAACGTGGTGGGGTTTGCACTGGGTACGTGTCTATCTGGGAGAGCCTGTGTGAGCCTAGGGATCTGGGAGGATTGAATCAGTAAATAACCCGTCTACAATTCTTATGTCCTCTTACAGCCTTATAATTCGTATTCTAAAGTTAAATTGATTTTTTTTTTTGCTTAAATTAAGATAGAACCTTAAAATCAGTACTTTTATAAATAGAAGATACATTGAAAGTAACTACAACAGAGAGGAAAAAGGCTAGAGTAATTTGACTGTGGCCAGATGAAGTTCCCTAATGAAGGTTCTAAACTTGGGATCTGCTCACTCTTAAAAAGAGAGTCAGGGAATTCCCTGGCAGTTCAGTGGTTAGGACTCAGCGCTTTCATGGCTGAGGGCCCAGGTTCCAGCCTAGTTGGGGAACGAAGATCCCACAAGCCCTGAGGCACAGCCAAAAGAAAAAAAGAAAAAGGGAGAGTCAGTGATACAGAGGAACCAAAGAAGCCCAGTGAAAACTCGCTCCTGCCATAATCAGAAGGTTAGAAAAAGCACTGAGAGAAGAACATTCTTACTGTGTGATTCAGTTTGAATCACCACGCTGTCATCTGGTTCCGTGGTTTTCAGGGATGGCAGCTCCTGAGGACACTTGGCAACATCTAAAGACAGTTTTGGTTGTTGCAACTGGGGTGCCACAGGCACCTGTGGGTAAAGGTCAGGGATCCGGCTAAACATCCTACCACGTTCAGGACACTCCCCCACAAGGAATTACCCAGCCCCAGGGTGCCAGGTGACAAGCCCTGACCTGGTCTCCATCCCCAGTGGTGTCAGCCCCACCCTTTACCTTCTGGATCTGACCATTCCAGGTGCTGGAACTGCCCTGCTTGGGAAGGAGGGCGCCATGGCCTGCACGGTGGCCGTAGAAGAGTCCATCGCACACCACTACAACAACCAGATCAGGACGCTGATGGAGAAGGAGCCTGAAAAATACGAGGAGCTTCTGCAGGTATCTGACCATGCTCTGGAAGGGTCTGCCGGGGGCGGGGGGAAGGGCAGATATGCAGTTTGATAAGAGGACCAAAACGGAGTGTTGGGGACTAACACTGCCTTGGAAACCTAGGGCAGCACCTCGTTTGAAAGGCGTGCAAACTGAGGCAGCTGTGGGCCATGTCATGTGCTCGGGCAGAGCTGGGACTGAAACCTGAGTTTCCTGAGCCCACACCTGTATTCTCTCTGCCTCTGGATCATTGTTAGATCCTGAGCAAAGACCATGAGCACAGATCCTTCATATTAAATAAATGAATATCCTCAGGATAATAAGTATCCTCAGAAATTTTGTACAGAAAATAGGGGAACTGTTTCTTTTTTTTTTTTTTTAAGTCAGTGGCCACCCACCTGTCTCTGTAAATAAGTTTTTCTGGAACACAGCTACACTCATTATTCTGCATGTCCATGGATGTTGTTCCCTCTAGGGTGGCAGAGTTGAGTCATCGAGACAGGGATCTTACAGCCCGAGAAACCTGAAGTACTGCCTCTGGGCCTTTGCAGGAAAAGTCTGCCTACCTGTGTCTTAGCTGGTAATATGAGGCTTTGGCCACCAAAGTAAGTCAGAACAGTGGGGAGTTGGAAGGCTGACTTGTTTCAATTTCTTTTTATTTAACCAGGTGATCAGGAAATTTCGGGATGAAGAGCTTGAGCACCATGACATAGGCCTCGAACATGATGCAGAACTGGTGGGGACCCATCTTTACTCTTTGCTTGTGGTGGTACTGTATTTGGAAGGTTGAGGGACAGGAACGTTTCTGTTTCTAGAAAGTTATAAAACAATCATCAGAAACAGAACCCATATCCGTCAGTTCAGTTCAGTCGCTCAGTTGTGCCCAATTCTTTGCAACCCCATGGACTACAGCACACCAGGCTTCCCTGTGCATCACCAGCTCCCAGAGATTGCTCAACTCAGGTCTGTTGGGTCTGTGATGCCATCCAACCATCTCATCTTCTGTCTTCCCCTTCTCGACTCCTGCCTTCAATCTTTCCCAGCATGAGGGTCCTTTCCAAGGAGTCGTTCTTCACACCACATGGCCAAAGTATTGGGAGTTTCAGCTTCAGCATCTGTCCTTCCAGTGAATGTTTAGGACTGATTTCTTTAGCATTGACTGGTTGGATCTCTTTGCAGTCCAAGGGACTCTCGAGAGTCTTCTCCAACACCATAGCTCAAAAGCATCAATTCTTCGGTGCTCAGCTTTCTTTATAGTCCAACTCTCACATCCATACATGACTACTGGAAAAACCATAGCCTTGACTAGA